TAAAACTGACAGAGGGCCAACGTAATTTTCACCGTTGGGCTGGCATTGGCCCAACGTAAGCTTGCTATCTGGGATCATATTTCAACCCTCACCAAAAGACTCTCCAGATCCTACATAGAGATACATTAAATGACCATTCATTGATATTGGATAAATATAATTGATTTCCAATCAGCCTCATTAGTTTTTTTTTTTTAAATTAAAAAAAAAATTGAGACTGGTACGCTTTGATGTAAGTCGCCCACATTTCGCAGTGGTTAGAGTGTCTGCCTTGTCTACAGTCGCCAAAGCTAAGAGCTGAACCTAATGTCGCAGGTTCAAATCCACTGCATTACGTGTCCTACAGATGAGACCGTCTAAACCGTGGTCCTGTTTTGCAGTAAGTGTTCGCACTAAAAAGATCCATCCCTGCTCAATGGCCCAGAGTGCTGAGAATAAGTATATTTGCAGTCTGCCATCAGCAAATGATGGTGTCTCCGTATGAGTGAAAAATTCTTATTGAGGGAAATTAGACAACAAACAAACATAGATTTCATATGTGCCCTTGTACTATATAGTGCATATGAATAATTGTGAAATTTATTTGTTCTGTACATATTTTTTTTCATAGTCAGTAGCTACTTGTATACTTAGAGCATTACATCTTTGTTATAATAAAGGTAAAAATGAGTACAAATATTTTAAAGTTATCATTTGCTAGGTCCATTTTGTACAGTACCGGTATTTGTGTTTCTATAATGTGACCCTCGACAACTTAGTTTACATTTACAATTTCATTAAGTCGGAAAGATATACTCAGTAATTAAATAAAACCTGCTGCATGTAAAAATAAATAAAAGGAATATATACATGTAGTAGCTGTTATTGTACAACTAAATACAAAAAACATAATTAATTTTACAGTCCTCTGAAAAAAAGAATTTATTATCAGGACTATGGATTGACCTCACTTAAAGGCTGACTGTATATTTGTTCCTAAATAAAAGCCTATACTGAGTAAATTGGTTATTTTTCAGTTATTTAAGAATATATTTTTTTCATTTCATTTTATTTAGGAGATCAGCAGGTAAAATAAGAAGTCAAAGCTTACAGGGAGCTTTATTATGGCTGGATGGTACATGTTACATAAAAATTCTATTTTTCCCCATCTAATTCATGAAATGGCATCCATCCTATTGTCAGTGCTGTCAGGGAAAAAGATGAACTGGTATGTAATTGCATTTGTATTTTTTTTAATAATAGAAAGTACTCATAAATTACACCTAAGCTAGGCCATCCTTAAAAAATTGTTTGTTTGGAATTGCCACCTGAAGGGTTTCAGACACAGGAGGGAGGGAGGGAAATTACTTTTTTTTTAATTGAAAACCTAATTTATACATAGATCAGACACTATATATCAGTGTTTTGTATGGTGCATGTGATACATGTAATGGGCAAAAAAATTGATTAAATAAAAAAATCCTACTCTTGGTCAATAATTTTTTTTTTCAGTAGGGGGGCATTTCAATGAGACGGGAGGCAATTCCAGACAAACTATAATTTTATTTTGGCCTAAGCAATGCTTCAATGCTTCCAATTTTAATTCTTAAAAAAAATGCATTTCCTTTTATTATCACTAGGTGTATTACAACCTAAGACAAAGTGTTGAGATGTTTGGCAGTCCTATACATTCACAGAGAAAATGTTCTGCTGGAAATATGGGGCAACATTCAGCCTGTACACACATAGACTAGGTATGCTCATGCTTGGAAAATTCTCTAATAGAATACCGGTACAATAATCTTGTATGCAGCATCTTCAGGCTTTTCACAAACTTACAATTAAGGATTGATTAAGAATTGTATTTTAATTTGAGAAGTAGATCAATTTTATTTAAAAAATTAAAAATATTTAAAGACAGTTTAATTTACCAAAAAACAAGTGCAGTCATGATAATGCTAATTACTCTATACTAATTGCTACTCATTCTTATTTGAAGGGATTCCACCAAAAACTGAAAGAGAAAAGAAGCTGATGTACTCAAACAATCCCTGGCAAGAGAAATTAATTTGTGAAATGAAAGAATGCACAGACATAACATTTTAATATTTGTTTGTACAAAAATTGACATTGAAAGGAATTTACTGTATGTGTACTTAAAATAGCGAGCTTCATATTTTAGTTGTTTTTGAGCAGACGAGGATGTGCTAATTCATAAATACCACTAAAAATTCATTTATAAATAGAATATACGACACAAATATTTGTAGCATTAATTCAAGATTATGCCAACAACCATATCCATTGATTGCGCTAAATTTTGAAAACACCAAGTTATGTACATGTACAGTATTTTTCCAAAGCTTGAACTTTTTTCTGTTAACGATTTTGCTTATTTTATTCATGGCTGTAAATATTATTAGAACAAACAGATCACCAACACTTCGTAAGAATGCACATGTAAATTTATTTTGGTTTACCGGTTTCGACCATGGTCTGATGACGACCGTCTCTGGTCGAAACCGGTAAACCAAAATAAATTTACATGTGCATTCTTACGAAGTGTTGGTGATCTGTTTGTTCTAATAAAGTTTACTACTTTTGATCCAGACCCTATTGAATACCACGTGGTATCCACTCGTAAGAATCTTCCGCAATTTTAACCTTAGGGTGTTGGTCTCCAGCTTTAATTTTGTTTTGTATGGCTGTAAATAAATAAAACAAAAAAGATTGTATTAAGTATTTATACATATTTATTCCTTTCGTACTTAAATTTGAGCATGCAAGTACAATATTCTTGGAAATCAATGCTTGTGGATTTGACGAGTCTCTCTTGCCCATGGATTTTGTTAACATATTGATTGAATCTACATTATCAATGAGTTAAAATCCACAAAATTACATACCCATGAACAATTTTTCTTGTCCATGAACATTGAACCCCACAAATTAACTTGATTAAAAAGATTCCACAGAATTCATAATACATGTACAATCATTTTTAATTCTTTTTCAAAGCAAGCAAAAAGATTTTTTTTAATTTTTCTAAAAATTAAATGTGTCAAAAATTCTTAAAACTATATACTTGTGTTCTGAAATTTAAAAAGTAATAGTTGAACATCTTCTAAGCTCATCTCACTTAATAGCCTAATCATGCTAATAGCTTCTACAATATGTACCAATATGAGAAAGAATCATTCGGACAGAGTCTTCAACAGCTTAAATGCTTGCATTGAATTTTTCATATCTTTGTTAAAGAATATGGCTGATCTTAAAGAAACATCCGAGTGACTGCTAGTTATCACTGGGGATACTGGTCTAAACTCCATGATGCACACTTTAGTTCACAACTCTTGAGGAACAGCTCAGTCTTTGTACATACTTCGTGTCTTGACTGCAGCCACGGAGCTGTTGGACTTGTATTGCTGGAGTTTTAAAGTCCAAAACTGGGTGTCAAGTTTACTGCATCCTTTTTTAGTCTACTCTTGTCTCCTGTAAACAAGGAACTGTGCAAATATTATTTTTGTTTTGTTATTGTATTGAGTTAAAGTAGAATATTATATAATCAATATTTATCCAGGGAAAACCAAAGACCCTACTCGTACTAATCAAGCGGGGAAAAATATCTCATTATTTCTGGTGTTGAAATTTAAAATATATAATAAAATTAAACATTGAACTCAAATCATAAATTGCAGTACTTATTCCATTTGCTAACAAATCAAGTTAATTGTATGGGGACTTAAACACATCATACACTCTATTTGTACATTTTTAAAAGAAAACTGCCACTGTACATTAAATTAATCAGAATTAATCCTATTACATTTACCAGTGCTGTGTCTGTCTGTTTAACAACAAAATCACAAAGCAACAAAAGCTTTAGACATTTTAATTAAATTTCAAACTTTTGAAATAATATTTTAAATAATATTAATTGCCATGTGTCAAGCTATTAAGACACTATTAATATAAATAGTTCAAATGTCCTTTGATGAAAAAAAAAATAAAAAGGGAGTTCACTTTTTTCCATTTAAGAAAAAGTTAAAAAGTCACAAAGTCAATATGTTTTATACTATATATAGTAACTCATTTTTATAGTTAAATCTATACGATTTAATGACATATACTTCGTAAAATACTAATTAAAATTAATCAAAATCAATATTTTACCAAAAATCTAATCCTTAATATCGCCGACTCCAAAATTCTGGTGACAAGCGACATCGTGTTTACCAAGTCAGCTGATCATCTTCATGACCGATTTAGCGTCACTTTTCGTCTCAAACAAATGTCTGGATCTGAAAATAATGAGTGTCCGCATCCTCTACAACATTCTGGCACACCACAGAGGGTTGACATTCTTTACAAATTAATTAATTTGGAGGTATACGTCCAGGAGAAACCACAGTGTCTCGCCACGCTACCATTTGTTTACACTCAGTCAAGCGCTTGACAAATTCAAACGTTTGCGTAACCACCTCTAAAACCGCAGCGCCACCCGACGGTTAATGACGTGAATGGATACTATTTACATTGCATGTTTTTTTGCGCATTGTTTGGCAGGCACGTAGCATCGATTTTGAAAGTGGGGGGGGCCAACCTGAGAAAATTTTTTTTACTAACCTAAAAAAAAAGTTGACAAGCAAAAAAAAAAAAAAAAAAAAAAACGAAAAATTGCACAAACTCCAAAATCCTATTTCGTGGTGGTGGTGGTGGGGGGGGGGGGGGGGGGGGGGGGGGGGGGGGGGGTAACTTTTTGCAGGGCCAACTTCCTTTAACTTCCAAGTCCTTTCTATATTTCCCTGCTATGAATATACTGTGGTAAAAAGTGGGGGAGCCAACCATCTTTTCAAAGGACATATTCTATAGTAAAGGTAATGTTGGCGAAAAAAGTGGGGGGACCAGGCCCCCTCTGGCCCCCCGGTTGCTACGTGCCTGTTTGTGATAATGTCTCCGTAAACTGCATAATTTTTGCATTGCGGGATCTGTAGCATCATGGTCAAAGACTAATATATAAAGGGTGCAAAACACAGTTTTATGTATGACGTTATCAGGACGTTACTTGGTGAGGGACAAGCAAAACTGACCCCTATAAAAAATAAAATGGAGGCTTGTTACATAGACTTCTGCATATCAATGGAAAGATAAAATTGTGAATTTTGTAAATATCCAACTATAATACATTCATCAATTACTACTAGGGGGTATTTGACACCTGAAATATGGGGGATATTGGGTTGTTTATGCATCCATTTTCAGTGCACCTATGCATTTTTAACCCCCCTGCTCAACAAAAACAGAAAAAATCAGACAAAATAAGTTGTATGCATTTCACAGAACAAGTCCTAAGGTTTTCTTTTAGTGTGCTTTCAGGGTACATTTTCCACCTCATGAAAGAGCTACATTACCTGCTAATTGACTCATGCAATTCTGCACATGTGAAAACCGGATGTTTTGGGAGTTATCTCCCCTTATTAAAAAGTCTCATAAATTTTTTTTTCTAAAAATGAATGCACATTTTTTTCTTTAAATATTAAGATAAGATTCTACTTTATGTGAATAAAAACAAAAATGATGCAGTTTTCATCTAGACTCCTATAAATAGCAGGAAAATCCCTACCCAGCATGCTTCTCTCTGGGAAAAACCCCCTGGATTTTATACGAAACTGTGTTTAGCTACCTTAAAGGAAATAATTTTTTTTTGCAATTCACTTTTTTGTATTTAGGTGCAAAGAGGAGAGAATTCCAAACATTTTGGTGCATAAATTGTTGAATTTGGTCCAGAAATGGGCAAGTAATTGTAAATTTAGTATTACATGTCTACGACATCGGTCAACGCATAAAACAGGACTTCGAAGAGAAATTCAAACCTAACCGAATCAGCTCACACAATAATTTTATTTTTCTTCAATTTAAAAAACACAAAGTATGAAATATACAGTATTTGAATATCAATAAAATGTTACATTATAATTTTTTTGAAAAGCTGCCAAACAATTTTTTACAGATATTGCTAGTTTCTGTATAAACAAGGGGGGGGGGGGGGTCTAATTGGAAATAGTCACTGTCTTAAATCAGAAGATTGCCTCAAAAATCTGGACGGTGTCACCCTAACTACATACTCAATAGTTCTATGTCACATGTATATCTATACAGAAGATACATATCCTCATTTGCGATCAATTAAATTGAAGGTCATGACCTTGCGAAGCTTCCATTTTTGACATGACGTCACACTTTGATGTCACAATGCAGTTGCGTCATAATGTAAAATAACAACTTTAGCCCCTGAATCCTTATCATATGTATAAATTCTATAGAACATGTATCTAATAGGCATTTTGCCTTACACAGTGTCAACTTGAGATTATATTGTATGGTTAACTACATAAATTAAAACAAATAAAGCAATTTTCTTTGAACTTACATGCAAATAAATGTGGGAAATGTCATCAAATGCTACTCCTTAAGGGTGCAAAACACAGTTTTATGTATGACGTTATCAGGACGTTACTTGGTGAGGGACAAGCAAAACTGACCCCTATAAAAAATAAAATGGAGGCTTGTTACATAGACTTCTGCATATCAATGGAAAGATAAAATTGTGAATTTTGTAAATATCCAACTATAATACATTCATCAATTACTACTAGGGGGTATTTGACACCTGAAATATGGGGGATATTGGGTTGTTTATGCATCCATTTTCAGTGCACCTATGCATTTTTAACCCCCCTGCTCAACAAAAACAGAAAAAATCAGACAAAATAAGTTGTATGCATTTCACAGAACAAGTCCTAAGGTTTTCTTTTAGTGTGCTTTCAGGGTACATTTTCCACCTCATGAAAGAGCTACATTACCTGCTAATTGACTCATGCAATTCTGCACATGTGAAAACCGGATGTTTTGGGAGTTATCTCCCCTTATTAAAAAGTCTCATAAATTTTTTTTTCTAAAAATGAATGCACATTTTTTTCTTTAAATATTAAGATAAGATTCTACTTTATGTGAATAAAAACAAAAATGATGCAGTTTTCATCTAGACTCCTATAAATAGCAGGAAAATCCCTACCCAGCATGCTTCTCTCTGGGAAAAACCCCCTGGATTTTATACGAAACTGTGTTTAGCTACCTTAAAGGAAATAATTTTTTTTTGCAATTCACTTTTTTGTATTTAGGTGCAAAGAGGAGAGAATTCCAAACATTTTGGTGCATAAATTGTTGAATTTGGTCCAGAAATGGGCAAGTAATTGTAAATTTAGTATTACATGTCTACGACATCGGTCAACGCATAAAACAGGACTTCGAAGAGAAATTCAAACCTAACCGAATCAGCTCACACAATAATTTTATTTTTCTTCAATTTAAAAAACACAAAGTATGAAATATACAGTATTTGAATATCAATAAAATGTTACATTATAATTTTTTTGAAAAGCTGCCAAACAATTTTTTACAGATATTGCTAGTTTCTGTATAAACAAGGGGGGGGGGGGGGGTCTAATTGGAAATAGTCACTGTCTTAAATCAGAAGATTGCCTCAAAAATCTGGACGGTGTCACCCTAACTACATACTCAATAGTTCTATGTCACATGTATATCTATACAGAAGATACATATCCTCATTTGCGATCAATTAAATTGAAGGTCATGACCTTGCGAAGCTTCCATTTTTGACATGACGTCACACTTTGATGTCACAATGCAGTTGCGTCATAATGTAAAATAACAACTTTAGCCCCTGAATCCTTATCATATGTATAAATTCTATAGAACATGTATCTAATAGGCATTTTGCCTTACACAGTGTCAACTTGAGATTATATTGTATGGTTAACTACATAAATTAAAACAAATAAAGCAATTTTCTTTGAACTTACATGCAAATAAATGTGGGAAATGTCATCAAATGCTACTCCTTAAGGGTGCAAAACACAGTTTTATGTATGACGTTATCAGGACGTTACTTGGTGAGGGACAAGCAAAACTGACCCCTATAAAAAATAAAATGGAGGCTTGTTACATAGACTTCTGCATATCAATGGAAAGATAAAATTGTGAATTTTGTAAATATCCAACTATAATACATTCATCAATTACTACTAGGGGGTATTTGACACCTGAAATATGGGGGATATTGGGTTGTTTATGCATCCATTTTCAGTGCACCTATGCATTTTTAACCCCCCTGCTCAACAAAAACAGAAAAAATCAGACAAAATAAGTTGTATGCATTTCACAGAACAAGTCCTAAGGTTTTCTTTTAGTGTGCTTTCAGGGTACATTTTCCACCTCATGAAAGAGCTACATTACCTGCTAATTGACTCATGCAATTCTGCACATGTGAAAACCGGATGTTTTGGGAGTTATCTCCCCTTATTAAAAAGTCTCATAAATTTTTTTTTCTAAAAATGAATGCACATTTTTTTCTTTAAATATTAAGATAAGATTCTACTTTATGTGAATAAAAACAAAAATGATGCAGTTTTCATCTAGACTCCTATAAATAGCAGGAAAATCCCTACCCAGCATGCTTCTCTCTGGGAAAAACCCCCTGGATTTTATACGAAACTGTGTTTAGCTACCAAATACATAACGCTACAGTTCTGCAGCTAGGACATGATGCAAATTCTTGCATTTCCATGAGCTGAATTGTACCTTTTATGAAAGAAAATAATCAATATTGAAGATTAGGCTTATCAGTTTTACTGCTGCACGTCCTATAAACCCATCTGTGCAAGATGTGGTTGGGAGTCATAAACTGCTGATGTCATAGAAAATGCTGGATCTGACCTTCATTTCTGGATGAGTGAAAAGGTTATTTTTTCATGCAGGTCTCAGTTCCAAATAACTACTCAGTATATGAGCCATGCTATGTTAAGCAACTCGCATGGATGAAACATCTAAGGAGACACACAAATGGGCTTACTTTGGATGTCGAATCTAACCTATATTTTATGGATGAGTGAACAGGTTAGAGTTTTTGGAGCAGGTTCTTCTAAAGCAAGTATATCATGTCCTATGTTTGAGCAAACTTTCATAAATGATGCATCTAAGGATGCACACTAATGGGCTTGCTTTGGATGCTGGATCCGACATACATTTTCCAGATAATGGATCAGGTAAAAGTTATGGGCGCAGGTCTATCACCAATAAACTA